GGTGGATATCTTGCTGATGCATAGGATGGCTGACGTCACAGTGTGGGATTGATGGCAGAGGCTTGCCAGAGACAAATGGCAAGGATGGGTGCAGAGACGAGATGCCAACTTGGGGAGAACCTTTAGGGAAGTTGGAACCACTCCTGTGTTCCTGGCCAGGTGTAAACTTGACATGCCTTGATTTTTTTCTAAATGCCGAATTAATACCTGGCCTTGGTGACCGGTCATGAATGCCGTTCACCCCCGGTACTGCTCTCTGACTGCAGCTTGGCTCTGCTGGCAAAAAGGAAAAGTCTCCTGCTGCCTCTCTTCCATGCTTTGGCTCAGCAGATGGTATTGGTGGTAGCATCCTTCTATGCTGCGGTGATGATAACACTTGGAATCCATATTTTGCATCTACAAGACCTGTAACAGGTGATTTTTGGTGAACTGGTTCCTCCTGCTTCGGGTAATCATCATGTACGGAAGGACTGCGGGGAAAGTGGTGATTATGCCTTCTTGGCAACTCAGGAGGGGCATTTTCTATTTGAGGGCAGATACGTCTTCGCCCTGGAAGTCTTGGAGAAGAGGGGATTTTTGGAAGAGCAGCTTGGGCATTGTGGGGAAACCAAACAGGAGAGTGAGGAGGAGAAGGAGAGGGGCATGGGTTGACACTGGACTTTTTCACAGACCGCCTTGCGGCTAATACTACAACGGGGCTCAAGGGGGGCTTGCTGGGCTTGTGCGGGGGGTCACAGCCCTGGCCATTGATGGACTCTACTCTCCGCAGAGGATCAGGAGGGGCCCTTCTGGGAAACCCTATGTGAATTGGCAGATCTGGTAGTACTGAAGTACGCAAGTTGCAGTTATCCTGATTGAGCTGGCAAAAGCTTTCTGGTAATGACGTCGTGTCAGATGCTGAATCAAGAACATGATGATTTAGAGGGGGTGGGGGAGCCCTTGGTGGGGGTGCTGATGGTCGCTGGGGTGGAGGCCGTGTTTGACCCCCATCCAGGTTACATGTGTCTTCTGAGGTCTCATGGTGGTACTTAGGTTTCTCTGTTTCCTTGTGGAACAGTCTTGGAGTCTTTGCCAGTGCCTTTGAGCTGACAGTGAACAGGGCATCACTGGGACTGAACTTCAAACGTGCGTGTTGCTTCCTCTTGACGCTGCTGGGATCTGATGGGTGTCTGCTGCGCAGCTTGTCTGGACTCGTTGGGCTGTTGTTGTTTCTGTTGATTCTGTGCTGTCTCAGGACTTGTTCACAAAAATCACTGGGTGCTTTTGAAGTATTTTCAAGGTTGCTGCTCCCACTGACGAGCTCTGTTTGTTTCCCCTGGGCATGCTTTGCTTTCTTTGCAGTTCTGCTGTCAATGACTTTGAGACACTTCTTCACTGCCTTGGGCAAGATTATTTCAAACTTGCTGTGGCTAGGCTGGGGAGGGTGAGGGGATATTGGTCGCAGTGTTGACCCAGGTCGGTTGGGTGGAGAGACATGATGAAGTGGAGAAGGTGGTTTGGGTGTGGAAGATAGGCATCTTGGAGGGGGAGACGGTGGTGTGTCAACAAAGGGGGAGAACCTGGGTGGGGGTGACAGGGGCCGAGTTGGGGGTGACAAGGGCCGTGTGGGAGGTGAGAGGGGTCTTGCAAGGGGTGAGAGAGGTCTCGTGGGGGGTGAGAGAGGTCTAGTTGGTGGTGACACGGGCCTGGTTAGGGGTGATAGCAGCCTAGTAGGGGGTGATAAGGGCCGAGCAGGAGGAGACAATGACCTCTCTGGAGGGGAAAATGGTCTAGCTGAAGGCAATAAATGCTTGGGTGGGGGTGACAGAGGCCGAGCGGGAGGCGACCAAGATCTGACAGGAGGCACGCAGGGTCTGGTAGGGGGTGTCTGGGTGGCTATGGAAGACAATTTTGGTTTAAGGCCAGGGTGCGAAGAAGGGGCAGTCCCCATCGGCATCAGGGCTTGCACTTGATTGGTGGACAGCAGTAACTGGGAGTAGACAAAAAATGTACACAACAACAAAGCCTAAACGTATGGGAATCCAACAAGGCCCTGAATTATGTGCAGGGTTAAGCACAAGACATCCATCTTTATCCCTCAAGTTAGCACATTTTTTAGGAATCTGTACTTCTTAAAAGGCATGCATCTGCACAAAAATCACACTTGATCTGTTATTAAAGGGGTTATGGTTTAAAGGAAGGACACAACCAACTTCATTACCAACAAGAGAACTTAAAACAAAAACGTTCACTTAATAGTTTCAAAGAATATAAAGCATGCAGTACACAAAGAAAACAGAGTTAGAGGTCATTGGGATATTAAATTTGAGAAGTGTTTGAGGAGCAATAGCATTTTGAGGCAAAAAAATGAAAAACAGTGAAAGATTATCCCATGAACCAAGCTCTCCTGGCTGACAATCAGCAAAGAAACTTTGACAAGTTGTAACATTAATGCACAGTAGTCTCACCTGTACTATTTGTGAGATACACGTACATGTACTGTACATCATTTAAAGAGATACATAAAACACACTGGAAAGCTTTCGGTTTACAAAACATTTGCACTGAAGAATGCCTCAAGTGTGTTCAGGATGTGGACAGGTTTATCTCAAAGTTTGCTCCACTAATTTGTTTTCTGCTCTGAAGTCAGAACTTGAAAAGGGCACACTACATCAACAATCCAGGTGAAGCTGAGAAAATAACAGTGGTGCCTGATGTTCAAAGACAATTTCCTACACATGCATGTCTTTTTTTGGTCTTTTGTTCCAGAACATTTGGTAAGCAATTATTTAAGTGAAATACAAAAATGTTTTTACATGGAATTCAACATAGCGGTAATTGAAAGATAATGGAATGTAATGTATTAATGGAAATGGAACACACTTGAACCAATCACTGAGGCTAGTCCACTGAAGACCGTTATCAACTGTTGAAGCTGATTGAAATTGCAAAGCAGACAGAAGTTTCAGGTACATTTACATGTATATGACCGTTCAGCAATAGAGACTACAACAGGGTCATGCATCAGTTAAACACATCCTCTAAAATGGCATCAAGACAATAACCAATGGTGTCCCTGGAAACACTGAATGGACCACAATTTGACCAATAAAAAGCCCTTCCGATATTGCCCAAAAGTGTGACTGGCAGCACAGACAGCATCAGTAAATACAGGACAAAAAATGATAGCAATCCACACAACACAATCAGGATTTAAACCTGACTATTTGAACAAATGAAATACAGCACCATGGAGAAATGTTTAAGCCAAATTGGAAGCCAAATTTCAAAGCCAAACTTTTTCAACCAACGTATGCCTGTTTTGAAAGGCATGGTAAAGGACGACCACTCCTTGGCAGACATTCTTACCATAAATTCTGAAAGCCTTGCTGTGAAATCTACCCTCAAAATCACAGACTATGAAATAATATGGCAGATTCCATGGAACTTGTCTAAACACATACATGTAGATGTACCAGTAAATACGTTTGTAACAATTGCCCATAAGAGTGCTTGTACACGTGTACGTAATACGTCCATGAAATATGTATGTGGAGGTTTAAGTTTTTTAAAAACAGGTTTTCAATCAAACCACAACAGAGGCCCCTTCAATCAAAGCTCTGAACCATGAGGTAAATTAGTACATGTACCTGAACAAAAAACAAGTTTAAAGTAAAACTCACAATGTTTCTTGAAATAAGAATGGCCCAAATCATGGAATGCAAGTTACAGCAAATGAATCAAATGAATGATACACAAAGAGACTATTTCTACAACTAATGGCTGTTTTCCAGATGTATTTTTGCGTTGGGGAGATGTTAATTATATATAACGGGTTTAAAAATACATCTTGAAAA